CCTTGTCAATCACTTGGGAATTTTTTTTTTTAAAGTCAATAGAGTGATTTGAAGACCAAGCGTTGTTGGAACCTCTTACATAAGACATCACATTCCTCGTGTGTTCTTTTTTTCTCGTTTCAAAGCATCTGCCAGTCTTGCCTACATAACTCCATGGGTAGGTTTTTCGAGAGACTGCTAATTTTCCATTGCTGTGAAACCATATGGAAATCAAACTTCATCAACCGCAGAAAAATTAATGGCATTTAAGAGACATTTATGATCTTTTAGAGAATGTGTACATGTCTGTAGTAAAAGTGAAAAAGCCTATGACATTTGAAGTTTTTTGTACTAGACACCCATGTTCAATGAAAATGGTGTGGCACAGTGTACACAATAGTCTGGCACTAAATGGGTACAAATTAATTGTTGAAATAATAAATTTTACCAAGTTCGATCTTCCTGTTGGTAAATACTGTACTAACAATAAAACCATATTTGTCCTATTGTATCTCATAGGAAGAGGTCTGCAACTTTGATATGAGTAACCAAAAGAGCCCATGTCATTTTGGGTCTTGTTTTGAAGACCCTGAGGCTCCTACTTGCATTCGGTACATTCTAGAGTATTGCAGTCGCTGGGAAGATCGAGGCTGTACCATTGAGCTGCCACAACTGTTAAACAAGGTGGACAACTATACAATGGAACGGATTACCAACATGAAATCTCCATATCTACATGTAAATTAAATTATTTTATTAACTGAATTCCTAATATACCATCCAGGGCCAGGTTGTTCCAAAGCCTGTTAATGCTAACCCAGGATTAAAAGCTATTCAACTCTTGGAACCTATCTTTTATTACATTTTTCTGAGACAGTGGTCATGATAGTGTTAAATCCCAGATAGTAGATATTGTAACCATGGATGAGGTTGCAAAAAGAACTGAACAGTATGGCTTGGTTCACACTAGCAACATAATGAAATAACAGCTAGCATAATGACACAACAACTTAATTGTTTATGTCGGTAATGTAAACATCGACATAAACACGTAAGGTAAATGTCAGGTTTTTCCTTATGTTGTTATGTTCGTGCTGTTATGTTGCTACACTGTATTACGATCATGGTAATTACATAACATTCTTCTTTTGTTGTTATGTTTACGTTATGTTGTTACTATGATTGTCAGTTGAGTAAGGCAGAATGAAAGTTTGGTGACTAGGTTTTAACATTTAACTTGTGTTGTTGTCAGGGGAAACTGGCTCCATTTCCAGTGGCAGCTTGTTGGCCTTTGATGTCATTGGCAGCAGAGCACGGGAAATTGCAGTCCATGCTGGTTACCACTGGAAACGAGGAAAGTTTTCCATGGAACACCATAATTTTAAGTTCAAAACTTCATCACCAATTGAAAGCTCCATGGTGCCTTACTCAATTGAAAGTCGCAGTATGTTGCTAGTGTAAACTAGGCCTAACTGTGATTTTTGGGTGGTTTGCAAGCAATTACCATGAGCATCTACCATTACTTTAGAAGATTTTGCAGGTAACAAACACATAGTTGCCTCTTATCCAAACAATTTATTGAACAGAAAAACAACTTAAATGTTAACATAGAGTACACAAATGGAACAAGGACCAAGAAGTTTAAAACCTTTGATAAGCTGATTAAAAGTTATCACATTTACAATGATAATAAAAAGATTGCTGAACAATCTACACTGAATGTTATAACTTTGTGTGCATTTTTTATTTTGAGAACAAGAGGGTTTTCACATAAAAGTTTTCAACTTTACAAATCAACTTTCAAGTTTAAATTCAAGAACTGTGATGATGTCATCCTGGTATTTTGGATGAAGTTGATCCCTTGGAACCTGGAAAAATTATAACATGCATCAATTTTTATTGACCTAGCTTTTGTCATTAGAGTTCTAAGGGAATTTTTGCCCTCAGATAAGGCCAATGGAAGCTGTAAAGTAGCAGGTGACATTTCAAATTTGTTTTGAATGTTATCCATGTCTAGAGCCTTGGGGCACCTAGCTCTTCACTTCACTTTCTGCCATGACCCCTGGGGGAAATGGGACACTGAGGATTCCTGACTCTGCTTTTTGGAAAATAGAAGATCCTTGATGAACAAATGTCCACAGCCAGCACAAGCAGAAAGAGGAGGGAATGCTTGTCTTGACTTTCTAGCAACTGTTCCATATTGAGAGGAAGTTGACATGTGGCAAGTCTAATGTTTTTCTGACTTATATGTGCTTTACGTAGTAAATGGTTTGAACCCAGGAGTATCAGTAGTTCGTATAGTGTGATCGTCTGGGTGAGTGTAGTTCTGAAAAGAACTGTTGTTGG